ATGCTGTCCTGAAGAAAGGGAGATTTGATCACACTGGGATCTTAGAAAGCTTTGATGTGTGACTTCTTTTTCCTCCTTCTCTCTGCTTTTATTCCCCTCCCCATAGGGCAAGGGTGCCGTATTATATGTGCAGATCCTAATCTTTGATCTCTGTGCATGAGGTTTCTTTCCACTGCAGGATCATTTATGACGGGCTAAATAATTCTTTGATCAGAGACTTTGATTTACTTCTTAATGCCCTACTTCATCACTAAGCCCTCCGTGATGACCCGCACCCACCCTGGTTAGTTCAGCTAGTTCATCGGTGACAGTCATGATGTATTTTATTGGCATGCTTCCTTCTCAAGGCCTCAAGTATTTGCACATGTGTGCAGTCCAATAAAACCTGCTGCTTGGGGAAGATGTCTATGATTTGTGTCTATGTTATACATGGTCTTTTTCTCCAACATGATTGCCTTAGGGCAAAAACAGCACTTTACGAAGGAAACACAATTTTCTCCTTCAATTTGATTTTGCTTGAAGTCATTTGTTTGGTAGTACTATGTGTTTTCATGGGTATTTTATTTATTAAATTCAACTCTTTGTTTTTTAAACAACTCATTTAAATATCAATGAAAAAAGCAAGACTTGTATTAAAATGGTCACCCAAGTTTTGCTGTATTCCAGTGTCTTTTAATGCTTCATATTTTAAAGGTCAAGCTATTCATTATTTCTGTGAGATACAATAACAATTATTTTGACTTTTGCATAAAGATTTTGCTTTCTGAAGTTGAAAAACATATGAAAACCAATAAAAACCTAAGAAATTGTCTATTAAGGAGGAACCTAAGCCTATTAAAATCTTAAAATCTGAAAAAAGGGGCCCTCTGGAGATAATAGAATCATACATTACCTTGAGTGTGGGTAGTCTCATAGGTATTAGCATATATCCACATACTAAAGTTTTATAAAGTAAATACATAATAGATATTCACAGTCTCACTTGTGCTCCAGTTAAGAGATTAAGAAAAAAATGACAGTGCCCACAGAAAAAACTTTGCAATATTATCATATATGTAAAGCTTTACAATGCAATTCTTCACACATAGCTTACTCTGTAGTCTTTAGATTATGCAATTCCATTTCCCTAGAGACATAAAATCTACCTGTAGCATCTTAACAGTATGTTTGTGTACCTCATTTTCTCTTCAGAGTCCTCACTGAATTTTCATGCCTTGAAAATAACACTTATTTGTGTACATGATTTGAGTAAAACCAACTTCAATAAAACTCCAGTTGAAACAAATGGATTTCTGGCACCTCAAGACCAGAATTATGTATGCAAATTGGAGGTAATCCAAGGAACAGCCAAGAGAGTAAGGAAAGAAGCAGAGCACTTGGCTAAGGAAGAAATGCAAGGCTTCTCACATTCCCCTGGAGAGGGTAAATAACAATAAAGCAAGATAACAGCTCATAAATATTTAAAAGGTGTAAACATCAAATATGGATACAAGTGATTAATTCTGTGACAAGAGCTTCTGATGCTTTCGTATCACTGGAAAAGGAAGAGGATACTGTTTACTGTCAGCAACATGAAATATGACACATTAATTATTTATGCACAACATTCTAGCATTGATGGAATCTTCCATCACCTCTGCATACCCCATCTCAAGAGATGCTGAAGAACTACACTTAATTATTCAACAGAGGGAAAATTCTTTCTGCGGAGATCCATTTTACTTGGCTTCCAAACAGAGCTTCTTGAAAGGAGAATTTGGCTTTGCATAATAGGCATGGACAGGAACTTACACTTTTATTTTCCTAGTCCTACAGGGAATGAGTTAGAGCCAATGCCAGTAACAAGACCAGGAGCCACTTGGCTGGCTGGGGCTATGAGGAGCTGATAGATTAGAAAGCATTAAAACACTTCACAGCCCATGTTGAAATGGAATGGGAAACTCTTAGCAAGATTGCCAAGGCAATTACAGCATCCAGAGAAGCAATCCAGGAACTCCTCCACACAAGTGTCCAAAAAGGGATCCATAATGAGAGTCATCCCAGTCTCCCTTCCTCATTTTCCCTCCTCCTAACCTCCACTTTTTATAGACCGTGATGTACCCCAGGCTCTATTCTAAGTGATAATTATGGAAATTAGATGGAAGTATGATCAAACAAAATACATTTGGTTAGTATATGGAGCTGTTCTATTGAAAACCTTTTACAATGCATAGCTTGTTCTATTCTGTCATCCTTAGAGGACAGAGGCCAAGCTGTGAATAGTGTGTGCCAATGGATTTGGGTAATAACTGTAAAATAATCAATGCCTTTATAAAATCTTCACAGACCAGCTAGGGAAGGTAGCTGGAATCTTGTTTCACAGGACAGTATTTTACTAAGATTAAATGAAAATATTAATCTGTCTTCTGGACTTCTAGGACATGGAGCTGAGGCTTTGATATAAAAGAACACACCAAAATCCATAAATCAGTAGGAGGAGCAGCGGGGAGAGATAAACACCACCAGTCAGTCTGGATGTTGCCCCAAGGTGACCCGCTGCTCTATGTATTATCATGAAGTCCTAGAACAAATCATCTTCTCTGTCACTCGCCTACTTAAACTGCCTGCTAAGGTGCATGGACAATAACTCTTTAGATAAATTGCACATGGGTGTGGCAATGAATGACCTGTATGAACAGGCATGCATGCATCTGTCCCATATGCATAGATTTAATCTCATAAAATTTCTAACACTTATGAATTGGGCACTTAGCAAATCCAGACAAAATTTGGTTTTGAAATGCAAGAGCAAAATTAATATTCTTTTCTACCAGAGCACTGGTGATTCTTTTATTCTTCTAAAAAATGTTTTTAAGAGGCTCTGTAGCAAGGGGGAAAAATCCACACAAAGGATTACAAAAAATAATAAGTAAGTGTGTGGGGGGGGGTGTTCATGAACCATGATCCCACATAGCTTTCCTGGAAGGCACAAGGATAATTTCTCAAACATCACAATGAAACTGAGAAAGGAAATATATATTATAGAGTTAAATGATCATTTAATCAATCATCAAGAACACACACACAAAAAAGAAATATAATTAAACAAAACAGAGGGAGGGTTGAACACTAATGAGTGAGTAGTAGCATTTCACAGATTTGTCTTCATTTTCATGATATCAACAGATAAAATTATTAATTATATACCATTCTGGCACAAAGACAATTACATTTCCTATGGTAGAGTGAAGTATTTCCATTTTGTTGTTGTTTACTTGATAAGATATTGAGTTGTATGTTTTTTGTTTGGGTGATTGTATTGTTTTACTGGGATACTCTTTGTTGTTCTGAACTTAGGCCATTGGACATTCTGGGCATGTGTTTTACTATGTAATTATGTGTTCCATCCCATGCATCCCATGGGAATTATACTTGATCCTTTAATTTCTGAGAAGACTTACCTACATATCTCACAAACTAGAAATGTAATGCAAGTAAAGTCATAAAGGGGCTTTAATAGAATAAATGCATCCCTTATAAATTCTAGCATCAAAAGACCTGAGTTATCAGATTTCCAGAGGACTTTTCCCTCAGGATACCAGAATATATCACACGTGGCTTATGATCTTCTAATAGACATGCAGATTAACTGGACTTAACATGTATGTTCAGAGAAGTTCCAAATAGAAGACGCAAATACACAGGGGACAAAGCCACTGAATTAAGAGATGAAGAGACCAAGCGGTTCTCAAAGTACACACACAGTATCCTCAAATGTTTATTCATAGAACAGACCTGACTTTATTTAGAAGGCCTCTACAGGTTACCAGAAGCTAAATAAAGCAAACAGTAACTAAAAATCTAGGTGTTGTGTCTGTTTTCATGATGTATTTATTAAGGTACAATTTAAAATTTACATAGCAAAAACTTTTGCATATATCAAATGATGCCTTAATTTTTCAGGTATCATATTCTGTCATTTGCAAACCTGGACTCATAAAGTATGAGAAAACATTTTATATTATTAAAAAGAGGCTTCCAAAGCACTTTATGTTGAAAGTCAAAAATGACGCCAATTGTTGACTTTTTTTTTACCTGAATGGGAACACACTACTACAAAACAAGCATAGCACTGATAGATATGATTAAAAGTCAGATTTATGATATATGCATGTATGCTCTATTATATATACATATGTATACACATATTATGTAATCACAACCTATATGCTATACCTACTTGTAATTACAACTCTTTTCCCAGTAATAGGAATTTGGAAATGCAGGTTTAAACACAGATAGTTTTCTCGAAGGAACATCACTGTGTGTCTAGCTCTTCAAAACAGACTTGCTGACTTTAAAATTCTTAGAAACTGAATATCATACCACCTAGAATAGCAACAAGTTGATAAAACTCCAACTGAAGAATCAAGCCATACTTAACATTAATCCAAATCCCAGGGACAGTTCAAACTCCCTCCAGACCACGAAAGGGCAAGCTCTTTGATCCCTGAAAATATGTCTTTCCTAGGCAAACATCAAGCCTCCTAAGAAGTTGATCTTCTCAGAACTCAGGAGCCAAATTCATTTTTCCATTAAAAATGATATTTAGATAAATATGGTCGACTCATTTTCAAATGTGACAAGAGGTCGATCAACAAGAAAAATAACTTCAAGGGAAGAGATTTTTCCTTAAAATAAACAAGACAGCATTTTAATGTAACACTCACACATACGTGCATGCATAGTCACACACACACACACACACACACACACACCACAACATATGTATACACACACATACAGATAAACAGTCATTCATAGACAAACATACACACATACATAAACACACCCTATTATGTATCTGGTTTATACTTGCTCATAAGGCGAGTGAATGTCTAAGTTTTGTGTCATTTTCTTATTCCTTGTTATTTCCTCTGGCTATAATTGTACATTGTGTAATATGATAATTAAACATGGTATAAATTCATAAAGAGAGTCATTAAGGCAAATACTCTTACCAGCAAATTTGGTTCTACTATGATGTGCCTGGAGTATCACAACAGGATCATTGTCTGTTGTTTACAGAACCTAGAGATAGAAAAATAGTTGCAGTTTTAGAGGTAATATCCAGATATGGACAAACTTTTACACTAAGTTCTATCTTTATCAAACATACACTAATATTCTTCTCCTCCCACTTTGCATCAAATCAAACCAATGTGTAAATACCTAACAGCATTTCTCTGTTTCTCAGAATTCTGGACCTGTCTATCTCAGAACATCAGAAGTTGAAAGGGTAGACATGCAGAAACATGCAAGCACACTCCACATCTGCCCTCACGGATTCAGGTATTTTGGAACAGACCACAGTTTGTCAGAATTCATCCCTGGCAGTCCTCCACAGACTGTTTTGCATAATAGCCACTTGCTTTGGTCTGATGCAATGATTAATGAATCAAAATAAAATGATGGCCACTAAAATAAGGAGATTTATATTAAAAAGCACTCCAAAAGCAGACCTCCATCAATTACAGAGTCGGCATAGCCTTCAATTCAATGGGCCATTTCCCACTCACAGGGATTCTTGCTGAGCTCCCATTTTTTAACAAATCAACGTATGAAATGAAGGATGTATATCAATCATTGTACAAAAACGTTTTAGTGTTAGCCCCCAGATCAGTTGAGGCTTGGCACTCAGACTCCAGGAGAGCATCCATAAGCTTGCTTTATAATTCAGACCCATGAACACTCCACAGAAGATCTTCGCTATTCTTTCAGTTACCAAGCAGTAAACACAGGAAAAGGAGATTTTATATAACAGTTGTCAGCATTTAATAATTGCCAGTCATACTGACTTAATCTCATGTAGTAATCCTATCACAATGCAGCAGAACTTAGTTACTAATTAAGCAGATTTATAAGACTATAACTTCTTTGGCACTAAATTAAAGATTGTTTAATATATATATATATATGTATGTATATAAATGTGTAAGTAACCTTCTTCTATTTTAAGCATTAACAGGCAATCACTTTGGCCTTGATCCAAAAACTGTTGCCAAGAAGTTCTAAACATTTTGTGATGCCTCTGGAGAGGACCTCACACCAGTACACTGGAAAGAAAAGTTTAATGCTAGCAAGTAAAAACAAGTGGTTACTGCTGTGCAATTGACCAAGTGACACACTGCACAGACTCTGTCCTTTATACTTTTGTTTTGTACATTCCTTTCAATCATACTAGGCCTGTTTTTGAAACCATTATTTTTTGCTTTATTGCAACAAATACAATTCCTTATGTGCAGCTAACAATGCACAAAATAGCACTTTTTGTGGCTCCCAACCAGTGGGTGAGTGATACACACCACTCCAGCACACTGTTTCTGGAGGCAAGCTGAAGATGTTTACCTAACTAGTGAAATATGCAGACTGAAACCATTCTGCACTGTACAGCATCCAAAGGGTTACCAAAAAATCTTCAGTGGGAAAAAAAGAAAATGTAGTGTTTTCACAAATTGAGTGAGGCTTTCTAATCCACCTGTTCCCTATTCAAGGCAGGAGTGAAAAGATGTATTATTAAATACGCTTTAATTATTTAAGTGATAAGGATACCATATAGTCAGTTTATAGGACAATTGTATCCAACATTTACTGTTTGAATATTAAGTCTTGGTTAGACAACCCCTCAAAACCTATTCATGTCATGCAAACATTACGTGAGTCCCAACAGGTGCCAACTTCTCACCACTGTCGAGAATACCCATGACACTAGAGATCAGGTTCTGTGCTGAATCACTGACATTATTATTTGGGTACTGAAGAGTTGTTTGGCATCAAGTAGGGGAGGCTGTAGCTGCTGACCAGACTTATTTGTATGCTTGCAGAGGCTTCCTGGGCCTGTTGATTTTTCATCTGCTTCATTCAACTTTGGTTGAGAAAGCATCCTCATTAATCACGGACATCAATTCTTGGCTAATCTAATCTCTCCCTCTCCCCTTTATCCTCCTCTCCCTTTCTCTGTGTGTCCTCTTTCTCCCTCGCCTTGCCTTGTGTGTGTGTATGTGTGCACACATGCACACACACACACACATAAATATATATGCATGTATATATATATAATATATATATGCTCTTTGTTTTCCTTTCTTTCATTATCCAGATGCATGACCTCCTATAATGGGTGTATAGACAATCCTTTAGACTATAAGTACTATGAAAATATGTTCATAAACATATATTTATATTGCTTAAGCAAAATAACTTTCCCTTTTATCTTTTTTCCTTCTGATAAATGCTCTCTCTCTCTTTCTCTCTATCTCTTTCTCTCCCTATTTATCTCACCCCCGTGTGTGTGTGTGTTTGTGTGTGTGTGCATGTGAATGTGTGTGTATACCTATTATATGTAACAGGTCCAACAATGCCATAATGCAAGCATACATACATGTTGATGATACCATTATAGTTTACCAAAATGCCTTTCCAAATTTGCTGTTATTCCATTTAACTAAATATGTGATCTTTTACATTAATTTACTCTGGAAATATTTACCCTGTCTCTCACTAATGCTGCTTGCTTCTTTGTACTAATGTCTTATTTTTATGCCTAGTGACAAAAATATTTTTATTTCCAATGTCCCTAAAATTCTCTTACTTAAGAGAAAAAAATAATTATAAACACTAAAATTAAAAGAAAAATTAACAGGGATACTGAAAATTGACTATGAATAATCTATAAGTATTATAAAAAGAAGCTGTTTGGTTGCTTCTTTAAATTATAAAAAATAAAGCAGGTATAACTGTCTAGTTAAGCTTTGATCAGTTGAGGAAATAATACAGAAAAAAAGAGAAATTCCACGGGAGACAGAAGCAGGACATTCCCAAGAGCAAAGTTAGTAAGGTGATGTAATGGATCACTTTGGAATTATAACACATATATCCACAGGAAGAGTGGGACAATAGCTCTGAATTAGTTCATCTATGGCCCAGACAACCTCTTTCAAGGAACATCTTGCAGATGTGAGACTCTCTTGCATCTGAACATAGTATTTTTCCCACAATGAAGTAAGCAACCTCATGAAGTTATCATGTGCTCAGAAAGATAAAGATAAAGAGATCTCTTTTTTTTTTGGTGCTGAAGGAAAACGTGGCTGCATAAGAAATCCTTAGAGATCTGTCATTTTTCAGTATAACATCTTTCTAAAATATTTTCAAGGTGAGTTTATCCTCCATGACTGTTACAGCAAAACACATATAAACGGCAATTCTATCCTTGAAAGAGGGAGCAATAACTATTCCTGTTAGGTTATACTCTAAATTGGCATGTCTTGATTATTGCTGCAATCTTAGTGTCACTGCATGGCTAAATACAGCCTGGATGAATTCATAACTGAAAGCATGCAAGCTACATATATAATTAATGGTGAGTGACACTTTGTAGTTCCTTAACTTGACAATCCCAGGTGTGAATGTCATACTCTCACAGAACGGGAAGGAGCACATTTTGATTGATCGGATCTATCAGGAGATGCAGAGCACAAAAGAAAGAACAAAAGGGCTGAGATTATACCAGTGTGTACATTCTGACTGTGTGAACTTACCCTAATAGTATAGGCTTTTAGAATTCCAATTCTCTCATTGGCAAACAATGAACCACAGAAACATCCTTGAAGAGTGAGCTTGAAGACTTCAACTTACATTTTAAAGGCTTAGCACAGCAAACATCTAGAAAGTACTCGATGAACTGAAAGGGCTATAGAAGCAGCATTCTCTATGTGCCTGCATCATGCCAAGGCAGGCCATCATGTCAGCATCTCTAGTTTCCTATATAATAAGCTCCTCTACCCAAACTCAGTCAACAAGAAGAAACCACATGTTAGCTCTTGTGTAAGTCACAAGTCTCAGCAACTACATGTATTTATTTCCAAAGCAGAGAAAGGGTGTTTTTTTATTTTGTTTTGTTTTGTTTTTTGTTGTTGTTGTTGTTGTTTATGAGCTATGTGTTATTTTTTAATTGTAGGTATGTTTATGAGTTCTTTAAGAACAGGCAGAAATAATTACCTCAGTAAATTTTCGTGCTCTAGTACCAAAGTTCAGAGGATATCAAATTGTCATTTATCCATTTCTTAATACATATATAGCAAGTGAAAATGCCTCTTCTAAATGCATGTGTTTGTAATGAGGAATATTTCTTTCCTTCTCATGAAAATCTACTTAATATAAATTGGCCTATAATACTGTATATGTTCTTGTGATTTAAAAAATAGTCATTAGAAAAATTTGACACATCTCAGCTTTAGTCAATATTGGGTCAATAAACTTTAGAAGTTAGGATTGAAACATCTCTTTTTCTATCATCAGTTGATGTTTGCCTGGCAGGAATGAGCTCTTCTATACTCTATTTTGTGTGTCAGATGTTCAATACATGTTTGTTGAGTGACTATATATATTTTAAAAGTAAAATATGATGTACATTATAGATACCGGAATATGAATTATGAATGAACAAAAATGAGCATACAGCAGAAACTGGTTACTAGGCCCTGCCAAAAAAAGAACAACAAATGTATAGCTAAGCTATTTGTGTGTTATCTCACTTAATGTAACTATTCCCCAAATTAGAAGGAACTGATCAAAATCACACATATGATAAGATTAATTCACAAACAAGTTGCCATGGATGAGTAGCAAATCCTGACCTGGGACTAAATGCAAGAGCTCCAAAGCAACTGCCTTACTGCACTAGACTGGTTCCCAATGTTGTATCATTCATCTAAAATATCTTAAACTTAATTTGAAAAGAACCTTGTAATAACTGCCTGGCCATCACATTGTTTTGAGTCATACATTCAATAGTCTGCAAGAGGCCAACACCATAATTCAGACAAATCAGCAAAAAATGGTCCAGGTTGAGTCCTGACTTCTAATAAGTTTTCTTTCTAGTTCTGTACTAATACAGCTGTAAGTGGTTTTTTAAAACAAACATGCATGCAAAAAATTCAAAATATAGGCTTCAGAATCCTTACCCACAGGAATGTTAACTGGATGAGTTTTATGAGGCTTTTGTTTGTTTAGTTGCTTGCTTGTTTTTGTTT